AGTTGAGGTCTACCTATAATGCCAATTACAGGCCTCTCTCATCTTTTTAAGTGGGAGAACTTGCACAATTGGTGGCTGACCAAATACTTTTTTGCCCCACTGTATGTCAAAGAGTAAAAGGAAGAAATGTACAGACTACTAAAGACTACATCACATTTCAGCAGTTGGAGTAATATGCCTTTATACAATACATGCTACTATTTAGATCAAATATGCACAATAAAATATATTTTTCACAGTTTAAAAAGGAAGGAATATTGTGCACATTACGTAGGCATTATTTCTACAATTTCTTGAATGTCTTATTGGTTAAACCATTTAAATTAAAGTTCATATATTTTTTTTATAAAATAGAAGTAATATGCTAGAAACAGCATGCATACATACATGCAATTTCTTCTAGGCCTCATTGCCCAACCCACAAACCCATTTAGCTTTGGAGGTCAAAAACACAAATTATAGTTTATGTTTTTTTCTCATTTAAATATTATTAATACGCTATTGACAACATACATACTTTTTCTTCAATTTTTTTGCAGGCCTCTTTGCCTAAATCACACCTCCAAATATCTTTGAAGGAATAAAACAATTTAAGGTTTTTATTTTTCTGATAAAAACAGAATTAGTAAGTTTTAGACAGCATATGTAGTATTCCTGAGTCCTTGCAGGCTTCATTACCTAAATAATATTATATATAATGCACAGAGAGTACTCTACAACAATCTCATTTTGAACACATTATGAAAATTCTAGACTGCATGTGGTTTTACAGTCCAAAAATCCACATTTAACAAGTTGAAGACTTTGGTGCTACATCACCCAAACAAACTTAATAAATAGTACATGTGTAGCACATTCAGTCTCTCTGCACTGCTTCTGGGACCCCCCCTCCCCCCCAGTAAACAGTAATTGTCACATTTGATCCAAAGTGCTGGATTATTTTTAGAAAAAACAAAACAAATGACGGCACAATTATTTGCGCTTTTTTTTTTTCAACAGAACATTCGGTTTTCAACTCATCTATGGCCAGCCTCAGTAAATCAACCCCAAAGTGACATATTGTTACTTTTGTATCATTCTGTTTATGAATATGCAGTTCAAAGAGATGAAACTCGATCTGCAAATGATGTCAGTTAAAGCAACCTTACAAATAAAAAAAGTTGTTTTTGAATTGAAGAAAAAATTTAATTTGTAAATAACACAATTTTTACCAATATCATAATTTAAATGTAATTACAGAATAAAATGTGCAGTAACACTATTTTTAAATTTCTAACAGTAGGTGGCCTTGGCTGTGTCACCAAAAAGTTAATACTGTTGCTCCCCCCCCAAAAAAAATGATAGATTCTAACAGAATTAAATAGAAACCAAATATAACTCTCTTTAAAAATATACCTAAAGCATAAAATCCCAAACACCTAAGCCCAAAAACACAGCCCAAGGACCTTTTAAAATTTTCTTTATTTTAAATTTTGATTTATTTTTTTTCTCTGGGTTTACTTATTTATAGATATGAAGGGGTGGTGTGCATGTTGTTGGTTGGAGGATATCTTTGTTGTGTCTTTATTAGGGGAAGGATTATTGACTGTTGCCAATAGATAGTGAGGGGGTATTTATGGAATACGTTAGGGTTAGGATTTGGACATGTAGATTATTTTGGTTGCAGGCTTGGGGGATAGATGGGGTTTGTGGAGTGGTTGGTATGTGTGCATGCTGGTTTTAGATAGGTGTGGGGAATTGTGATGACGTGTGTATGCGTAGGAGTTAGGAGGGTGCCGTATGGGGGTGGGTGCTTTGAGCTGTGGATGGGAGGCATGATTGTTGTGCAGTGTGGCTGTATGTGGATCATAATGTCTGGGATGTTATTGCATGATAACATGTCACCGCATGGTCCCTGTGGACAGCCGGTGGCCATTTTGGAATTCCCTGCTACCAGCTGCTCACTACACATGTGAGTAGTATTTTTCAGTTATTTGTTTATTTTTCTGTTGTGGATAATAAAGTACTACACTATCAGAATCTTCTGTTGTCTTGGCTCGTTACTTCCGAGCCCCCCCCTCCTTCAAGGCTTATTGGGATGATCTGGTGGCCACATCAGGATTGGTTAGACTCCCCCCGGTGGCGAGACGACTACACGCCCTCTGATATCTGGTGTCCCTGAGGTTGTGATGTTTGCCCAGCTGATGCAGGCCAGATGACCACTCTGTGATCCAGTTCCAGTTTGCAGTAGCCGGATGACCAGGAGTTGGTTAACACTCAAATGCGCATTATGATTGCGCTCTCTGGTTAGTGCAATCTACACTCATTTCTGTGGGAGGAATATGGTCACAGAAGTCACTTATTGTGTCACCTTTTTGTCCTGAAATTCTATATATTATGCACCGCAAGAACACTCTTGTTGAAGATTTTATTCACCATCATTATTATTCCTGGACTTTTTAGATAATTTCCAAGATCTATTTTAGTATTAAGTGGTGTTCACTCTACCAGTTATTACATGCACTGTATGACTATTTGCATGCATCATTGTACTTATTAGCTCTGCATGGTTGTTTGATATATTTTCGTTTGAGGCTCCTGGTGTTTGCCTTTCATGCTAGCCGCTCTTTGGTTGTTTATCCAGCGCTCGTATTTTTTCTGTTTTTATTGCATGATATGAAGGTGGTTGTGGGGTGTTGAGGTGTTGTTTATGTGGAGGGTAGAGGTGTCATATGTTGATGTGTGATGTTTGCATGCGGCAGGGAAGTTGTGTTCTCAGAGATTACCATGTAGAGGTGGGTTGAAGTGATATAGTTGTTGTAATTGATAGTGGATAGGGGTTGTGACGTTATTTTTGGTATATAGGGTGAGATATGAGGTTCTGTTGTTATGGGTTGGAGTTTGTGTTTAGGTTGTATGGGTTGCAATTGTTAGTAGAGGTGGGTAGTCCTGATCCTACATTTTAAGTACTAAAGTTTTCCCTTATGTGGATGGTTCCTTAGGTATTTTATTCTTGCAGCTGTGACAGATTGGTTAGTCGTGATCCTGCGTCCCCCCTTGGTGGTCCCATGCATGTGACGCTGCCTCCTGCCTTCTGGTGGTGGGGGTTGTCTGATGTGTCTTGTGTGTGGCATCCCCCTGGAAATATTGACATTTAATTATATTGTGGTAAGCCTATAGATACACATTGGTGATGTATTCTCTGTGTATTTATTGTACAACGATGTCTGCACTGTGAACATTCTTCAACTTTTCAGATGCTTCCGCTGTTTCCCTCATGAAGCAGTTGTTCACTACCAAGCACATTAGAGCAGATCAGTGGGATCTATTCAGCATCAATTTTGGAAATAATCTCCAAGCTTTTATATTTTTTATGATATTGATTGTATTATATTGAAGTGGTCTTTACTGAATTGATTTTACTGAAATCAAAATTAAATTTAAAGTCCTCCTTTTGGAAATGCCCTTTTCCTTTTTCTTGTTCTTGATTTATTTTTAACAAGCAGAAACTTAAAAAATAAATACATGGAAGAAAATAAAATGAAAGAAATCTTAATAGAACAACTTAATAAAATTAATGAAGGGATCAGCAGATAGACAGCAACTTGATGTTGTTGTATACACACACACAAAAAGTAGTCCTAAAAAAACCTTGTTGCACCTATTCACTGTGAATACAAAGATTGGTAAACAGTAATTTGTAAGAGGGGCCACAGTCCACCTTTTGTAGGTCACCACACTGCACTTCACAGTACAGCACTGTATATAGCACTGTATGTGACACTATAAAGCATTGTATAGCTGTAACTAATTGTCCCTGCAAATTATTTGTCATGTGTCAATATCTATATGAACTACAACACAAACAGAAGGCTGCTGAGAAAGCTGACTTTTATAAGAAGGGGGCTGGTACACTAAACCCCCTTGACATTTATACTGCTCAAAAGCAACATCCATTCAATGCTCGGGAACTGGCCCATATTGTACTCTGGCCAAGGAGTTAGAATTTGTAAATTAGAAGGGGGCATCATTTCCAAACCAGAGGAAGTACTGTGCTACCATGAACCCTCCAGGAATTAGGTCATTGGCTCCACCAGGGGGTCCCGCTATACTGCCATTAATCTTCTTTTCCCAGGGCAGCATCACAGCCCACATCTGCCCCCCTTTTGATGTCAGGAAATCAGCCACTTTACAAATACACACCACTAGGAAGTCTGGACTCTTGTGCTTCTACCTCCATAAATCACAGGGGGGGACCTATGCGAGAACATCCTTTGAGAAATGGCTTCCCATTGGCGAGCCCTTGTAGCAAACATCCTGCTGTGTCAACTGCTTTGCTTGTTGCCTTGCAACAGTACTAGATGGCAACTTTGAGGGCTCTGCCTCACATGGACACAGATGTTAACCACTTGCCCTCCTGTGGATTTCCCCCCCTTCCTGACCAGACCATTTATTGTGTTAAAACGCTGCACCCAAATTAAATTTATATCCTTTTAATCCAAAAAAATTGAGCTTTCTTTCAGTGTTATTTGATTGCATGTGAGTTATTTTATTTGTTGCGCTAGATTTAAAAAAGACGACAATTTATAGAAAAAGGAATATTTTTGACTTTTTTCTATTAAACATGTCCATGCCCAAAATTAGAAAAATCTAATTTTGTCATAAATGTAGGGCAAAATGTATTCTGCTACATGTCTTGGCTCCAACAAATCCCAATGCGTGTAAATTAATTGGTTGATGTGAAAGTTCTAGCGTCTACAAATGGTGGAATAGATACTGTGTTATTTTTTTAAGTTTTATTTTTACTAGCAATGGTGGTGATCAGTGGCTTATAGCGGGCCTGCGGCGAGCATTCTGCCACTGGAGGGAACTGACTTGGTGATCCCTGACATCCCCAGTGAGACCAATACAGTGATCAGTGCTAAAAAAAAGCACTGACACTATACTAATGGTTCTTGGCAGGAAGGGGTTAACATTTGGGGTGATTAAAGGGTTAACTGTGTGCTGTTTTACTCTGTGCTGTGTCTGTGTGCTTCACTATGAGCACAGTGCTTTGGATGGCTGTGCTGGGCACAGCCATCCAAAGCAGTGTGCACAAGCTGACAAGGAGGAGAACTGTATTGTTTATATACAGTTCTCCTCCCCATCGGAGATGCTCGTGAAGCAGTGGGTACTGGCAAGTAATCACCAGCCAGAACCCGGTGACTGACAGCCACGGACACGAATGGCGGCACAGGTAGGGCGTGCAATCCCCTTTGCACATCCGTGCTGCCCTGTAGCAGGATATGATATCTGCTATAGGGCAGGCGGAAAGCGGTGGTTTGCCATTTTAGCCAGTGTATAGTCAACTTGACAACAAGTTGTCCTGGCCACTCAAACATTACATGACTAACTGCTGTGGCTTTGGGCAAGAGAGTGGAGAGGGTGTAGAACAGCTAGCCAGTTTTGTCTGTTGTCTGTGTGACCTGTAGATTTATGCAAAAAAAGAACCTCTGCTATGTATCTAACTGTTTTTATTTTTATTTCAGCTGATTAACATCTGGGGTGGAAGGCATTCCTTGACCCCTCTCTCCTTCCCAGTGCCCCCAGAACAAGCACCTTGTTCTGGTGGGAGCCCAAGAAGATTCACTCATGAGCCACTGATCCCAGAGAGCAGAGCTTTTCAAGCCCATCAGGGAACACAGGATAGGGCTCAAGCAGGGGCAGACTCACAACTCATGAGGCCCCCAGGAAATAAGAGATAATGGGGCCCCTGTGTCTCCACCTACACACAAGCCACACCCACACAACACCCCACCTACATGGGGTGCCCTCAACATGGGGTGTGCTTTGTGGGGTCCCCCCCAAAGCACCTTGTCCCCATGTTGAAGAAGACAAAGGCCTCATCACCACAACCCTGGTCTGGTTTTGGTTTTCCAACCAATTGGGAGCTTGCAGGCATGTGTTCATATCAGGCCATGTATTTGCCTTTTTTGTGTCGAATAAAGACTATTTTGGTTCCTAAAAAAGTGTCATATCCTCTTGATTCTATTTCCTAGACTTAAGATGGCCAGATAATATGAAATCTAATTGATGAAAACTCTGTGCAATTTCCTCCACATGTAGCTCCACTGTATACACAGTTTATGGCATTGTATACAGTATGTGCTATTTTTTAGCACTATTGTCGTTTAAGCACCTTGTATTTACTTATTGGTTTATTTAGGATTTAGTCACTGGGGAGGAGGGATATAATTGCCTGCCCACAGAGCATTATAGCACATGCACATTTGTGGTGACTCTTTGTGTAGTAGGGAGTTCATTCATTTATGTATTAATTATTTAAAGTAGTTTTTGGGAGAGGCAGCCCAGCAGCTTTTATATTTCCATACAGTAAATAATTGAGGTTTGCTATGAAGGAACATTCACCTTTGGATACCTGAACTCATGTGGTTTGAGTCCAAATATTTCTGGCTATTGCAACGTATTGACTAATGCAGCTCAATATAGATCAGGTATAAATAAAAGTGTACCTTGTCCATAGAATAGCCAATGGGAGGTCCTATCTGGGCAAACAGATCTGGCACTTGCATAATTTGGTACATTCTGGTAAAATAAAATTTGAGATGCTTTATAATACTAAGGGGTTAGTTCATGCTTGTTTTAGGAGAAACATTACTAATAATTGTTGTATTCTTAATAGAAAATGTGTCCAATTCATAGATACATTGAGGTACCTAGCAGAGGTTCAAGATATTCCATAGAAGAAGTTATTGTTCTTCCTAACTATACAGGTGGCATAGACACAAGCATACACCAGTCAGCTCTTCTACTCCCTCTCCACTTTCTAGTCAGTAGCCAAAATCTTAATTGATTGATCAATATTCCTGGCACTGACAGAGCCCTGGAAATTGACCTCCATATTTTGGGACTTCACAATAGTCTGTAACGTCAAGGAGTTTACAATCTAAGGCCACAAATTCATACATATACTAGGCCCAATTAACCTAACAGCATTTCTTTGGAGTGTTGGAAGAAACACACCCGAACAGAGAAAGCATGCAAACTACAGACAGGTGCTGCCATAACTGGGATCATAACCCATGACCCAAGTGCTGAAAGCCATGGGTGCTAACCACTAAGCCACTGTAACAGACAGAGTTTGAGCTGGAATATGCAATAGTAACATGATTAAAGAGAATGACTATATATAATTAGATTGGATAATTAGAACTAGACATTAAAATTATTTTGAATATAAGTTTGAAAATTTTGACATTCAAATATAGGGTGTATGACTTTGTAACATTCATTAGGAAATGCATTAGTTGGGCGATCATTTTTGGAGAAAAAAAAGGCAAGAAAGTTAAGAGAGGCAACAATAATAGCAGCAACACACAAAAAATATAAAAAGCCATTAAAACAAGCACATCTGCAAGTTTTCTCATCTGACATACAAATAAATGCAAATGAGACAAAGCCCACACTTGTGCACCACCTAGGCACTATATCCGGCATTGCTCCTGCAATTGCATCTACACGGACCAGAGATTTACAAAGAGAATTCAATCTACCCGAAGACGTTTTTCCATTGACCACTGAAAGGTCTTGATTGATTTAATTGGGTCCGGCTGATTGTTCAGTGTCTGCTGTTGGACGTTATTCCTAGTAAATAAGGGCCATAATGTCAATGGCATAGCCTGAAAATAGTCTGGACCTCAATCCAATTGAAAATCTATGGTGGAAATGAAAGAAAATGGTCCATGACAAGGCTCCAACATGTGAAGTTGATCTGGCAACTGCAATAAGAGTAAGTTGGAGCTGGATTGATGAAGAATACTGTTTATCGATATTTAAATCCATGCCTCAGAGAATTCAAGCTGTTATAAAAGCCAGAGGTGGTGCAACAAAGTACTAGTGGTGTACTGTAGTGGTTTTTTCATGATTCCAGAAAATTTTCCTTAGAATTGAGTGATTCCATATATTTTTCCTCTGCTTGATCTGCAAAAACAGTTGCAACTGACTACATTTTTCTTTATTTTTTATTTTTCTTAAGTATTCCTTAAAGCAAGAAGGTTGGAATGTTAAATGAAAATAGTTTTGAGGCATGCCTGTGATTAGGTTTTTTTTCTACACAATTAAACAATTGAATTAATATTTTCCAAGAATGATGATTCCATATTCTTTGTGAACTTACTCTTTTTATTGATTTTTTTTGTTTCATTTTGCAAGCCATTTTAAGATAACAGGATCCTACTCAGAGGGCCAGAAATGCATTATTTTTCAATCCACAAGCCATATGGTAATTAGGTTCCTACGCAGGGGATCACATGTACTTTTCTGATTATAAGCCACAAGGCTATCAAGTTCCCATGTAGGGGGTCTTTTAAAAATTGAAATTTAATATTAGAAAATGAAATATAAAAATAGGAAATAGGATGAAGCAACAATGTTCCACCAAGGGAAAAATTACAGAAGTCATGATATTGCCTGGTACATATTAGGTTCGATAGTGGTGTATAAAATTAAAAGATTTCATTAGATTAGTAATTTAACCAAACCATACTATTTAATTTAAATTAATCAAATAATTACTATATGCTGCAGATCCTTTATTATTCATATTGTTTATATTTGTTGTACAATTAACATTAAAGATTGCCTTTTTCATCTTAAATCATAATGATTTTTTATGCAAATAAACTGTAAAACAGATGTAACTCCTATCTTCATATCACTGTCTATGAAAAGATATACAGACAATGAAGAATGTACAGTTTTCCTTAACCACTTCAATACTGGGCACTTTTACCTCCTTCCTGCCTAGGCCAATTTTCAGCTTTCAACGTTGTCGCAGTTTGTACCCATAAAACATGTTTAGAATTTTTTTCACACAAATAGAGATTTATTTTGGTGGTATTTAATCACTTGCCATCTGCCCTATAGCAGAAGTACTGCTACAGGGCAGCACGGCTGCCAAAAATCTTGCATATATACATGATTTGTATTCCCAGTTTGAAGCGCGCACGCTGCCCTACCCACACTGCTATTGGCGGCTGGGGATGTCAATCACCAGGTCCCAGCCAGCGATTCCCGGCCGACATTCGGTGATCGTTGGCAAAGCTGACAGGGGAGAGACCTGTGTGTAAACAACACAAGTCTCTCTCCTGTCAGCATGGACATGCTGCTTTGTATCTCTCTGCACAACAAAGATACAAAGTAGTATGTCTTCCAAGTAAAACAGCACACAGTTAACCCTTTGATCACCCCAGATGTTAACTCCTTCCTGCCCAGTGTCATTAGTACAGTGTCAGTGTTTCTTATTAGCACTGATCACTGTATTAGCATCATTGGGGATGTCAATGGCAGTTAGTCAGTTCCCACTCAGTGTCAGAATGCCTGACGCAGTCCCACTATAAGTCACTGATCGCTGCCATTACTAGTATAAAGGAAAAAAAAAACTCCAGTATATATACCGGGTTTTTTTTGTTTGTTTTTGCTTTTTTCTTACATTTTGATTACTGTTACAGTGATGATCACTGTAATAGTAATGTTTTTAACTATCATGAATGGGTTATATTTATAACAGCAGTAATTACTATTGTGCTGTTATTGGCCCACAGCTATCACAGGGTGCTGTGATTGGCTTAGGTACCATGTGATAGCTGTGGGCCAATCACAGCCTCACCATAGGAATTACAGTTGTTAGGAATGAAATTCATTCATAACAGTTTTGCTGACATTGTGATCATGTGATTGCTATGCAATCACATGATCCCCTGGCCACTCAAGGTGACCAGGTACCAGGAGTGGCAGTCTGCTGTGTCCAGTGGAGCTGGGAGCCCTTGAGTGGATGAGGTACATGTATATTATCCAGCCTGCCATTGCCACCTTGCCAAAGCAAATGTGCTGTGGACTGGCGGCAACCTTTTAATTTCCATTTTTGTGGCACAATCTGGTCTGTTAAAGGAAGTTGAAAAATATAAGCAAGATCAAAAAAAAAAAAAACTAAGTTACAAGGGGTGTTTACAAAAACAAATACTGTTTGTTCATGTTGTTGCATTAATGCTTAATGACAGAGTGAATCATATATGTCAGTTTTGATTTCTCCCTACATACCACATTAATGTTAGTGACTATGATACTTTTAAAGGGGGTGTGGCTTGGAGGTTGCTCTATAAAAATACTACATATTTATTTTGACTTAACACCCTCAGCACATGATAGTAAAACCCAAGCAGGACATTTACAGCCCACTGACGTATGTTTCCATTCTTTTTAGACACAGTTCTGAAAATACAAGATACAGCCTTGATTGTCAGTTTCCCTTATCTTTATGTGATTCACGAAATGCATTTACTCATATT